AGTGATCTACAGATTCAGTGCAAACCCTAGCAAAATCCCAGTGGCATTTTTTGCAGAAATAGAAAATTCATTCTAAAATTCATACAGGATCTCAAGGGACCCTGAAGAACCAAAGTAATTTTTAAAAAGAACAAGGCTCAAGGAGTCACACTTCTAATATCAAAACACATTACAAAGCAACAGTGATCATGATAATGTGGTGCTGACATACAGACAGACAAGTGGACCAATGAAGTAGAATAGAAAGACCATACAGCATGTGGTTCTGCACGTGGTCATAAGATCTCTGAAAAAGGTGCCAAAAATACTCAGCAGGAAAGAGAATCTCTTCAACAAGTGGTATTGGGAAAACTGGATATCCACATGCAAAAGAAGGAAGTTGGGCCCTTATTTTACACTGTATGCAAAAAATTAATTCAAAACAGATTAAATATCTAAATGTAAGACCTAAAACTATAAAACACCAAAAGAAAATATAGTCGAAAAGCTTCATGACATTGGACTTGGCAATGATTTCTTCAATATGACACCAAAAGCATAGGCAACAAAAGCAAAAACAGACAAACGGGACAATATCCAACTTTAAAACTCTTGGGCATCCACGGACACAATCAACAGGGTGGAAAGGTAATCAACGGAAGACGAGAAAAGCTCCGACCCCACCTCCAGTCCCAAAGTCTTCATCTACAGCCCCGAAGTCATGGCTATCAGAGGTGCCCAGAACCACTGCTCCCAAAAGCAAGTCCATCATCACACAAAACTCCCAAGGCACATAGCCTTTGTCCTCTTTACTCAACGAATGCTTACAGGTAATTTTACAACAAAGATCACCATAATTCTAGATAACAGAATGTATTTATTGAATAAAGTTGTAGGTTTAGAGTGGTTATAAATGATAATTCATCCTTTCTATGTCACAGAGGGAACAAGCAATACATCTCCCCCTTCGTCTGGTTTACGGATGGAAAACAAAATGGTTGACATTCAAAGAAAATTAACAACTAAACAGGAAAGGGATAGAAACACAAATTGCCCAAGCCTTTGGTTGGACGTTCTTCCCATGAGCTGCAAATACTGCAGCTTTACCAGTTTCACAGACAGCTGCTCACAGGCATGAACAAATATCACCAGTTAACATCTGGAATTGTTTATCTTACCACACCTGAAGCAGCTTCCAAAAAGCAGTGGATGAAGACCCCAGAATGGCTGCCTTAGTGGCCACTTGAGAAGATTAAAGTTAAGGCAAACTGGGTAATTTTTATTAGATACGTGCTACATTCAGCCAAGAAGTATATGCTGCATGCCCCACAGTCTTTTTTTAAAAATAGGCCAGGAACCTGCTGGTGGTCCAGTAGTTAAGAATCTGCCTTGTAGTGCATGAGATGCAGACGATCCCTGGCTCAGGGAACTAACACCCCACATGCCACAGAAAACCTAAGTCCACATAGGTCAACCACTGAGCTCACGAAGTCGAGAACGAAAGCTCTGCAACTGGAGTCGCCTCCACACGCTGCCACTAGAGAAAGCCTGACCTGCCACTAGAGAAAGCCTGACCGCAGCAGGGAAGACCCAGTGCAGCACCAAAAATTAAAAAACAGGCCAAACAAATTCTTGCTAACTTTTTAACAAAGTTCCAAACTTGCAGAGAAGTTACAACAATGATACAAAGAGCTATTCATTCAGTTCAGTTCAGTTCAGTCTGGCCACCGACTCTGCGACCCCATGAATCGCAGCACGCCAGGCCTCCCTGTCCATCACAAACTCCCGGAGCTTACTCAAACTCCTGTCCCATAGAGTCAGTGATGCCATACAGCCATCTCATCCTCTGTCGTCCCCTTCTCCTCCTGCCCCCAATCCCTCCCAGCATCAAGGTCTTTGCAATGAGTCAACTCTTCACATCAGTTGGCCAAAGTATTGGAGTTTCAGCTTCAGCATCAGTCCTTCCAATGAACACCCAGGACTGATCTCCTTCAGGATGGACGGGCTGGATCTCCTTGCAGTCCAAGGGACTCTCAAGGGTCTTCTCCAACACCACAGTTCAGAAGCATCAATTCTTCGGGGCTCAGCTTTCTTTATAGTCCAACTCTCACATCCGTACATGACCACTGGAAAAACCATAGCCTTGACCAGACGGACCTTTGTTGGCAAAGTAACGTCTCTGCTTTTTAATATGCTATCTAGGTTGGTCATAACTTTCCTTCCAAGGAGTAAGCATCTTTTAATTTCATGGCTGCAATCACCATCTGCAGTGATTTTGGAGCCCCCAAAAATAAAGTCTGACACTGTTTCCACTGTTTCCCCATCTATTTCCCATGAAGTGATGGGACCAGATGCCATGATCTTAGTTTTCTGAATGTTGAGCTTTAAGCCAACTTTTTCACTCTCCTCTTTCACTTTCATCAAGAGGCTTTTTAGTTCCTCTTCACTTTCTGCCATAAGGGTGGTGTCATCTGCATATCTGAGGTTATTGATATTTCTCCTGGCAATCCTGATTCCAGCTATTCATTACTAAAGAACTATAAACATTTCAACACAGTTGTTTTATCTTTTCTCTCTATAAATATATTTTTCCAGAGCCACATGAGAGTAAGTTGCCAAAAGAATGCCCCTTGACCCCTAAATCCTTCAGTGTACAAATATTAAAATCAAACAATTAACATGGATACTGTACTGTTAGCTATAGACTGCACACAAATTTTCTGTTAGAATGTCATTTACACATACAAAGAAATCAGATCACAAGTTATATTTAGTTAGTACAAAATGCACACTTTGTACTGTTCAAAAGGAATTTACAGCTTCAACTAAAAAAGCAAAACTAAAGATGGAAACAAACAAAACAAAAAACACTAAGAATACCAACAACTGCTACACTGCAGGAAAGGAAAAGGAAGCCAGTTCTAGATAAGCAGAAATTCAGACAACTTCATGACATAAGCAACTGCGATTTAGTCTCTTTCTGGTTAGGCTATGCTTTGCTCATGTTCAAAAACATGGCTTCCCCCAGGGTTAAACTTGATTCCATGAGTTTAGTCCTGTTTCTCTGACATAGAGATTTTCTAAAGCACTTTTATGTCAATCCTATCTTGTGAGAAAAATGTGAGAAAAAAAAAATGTAGTTTTGGCTTTTGATACTCTTTTCCTGAATTTCAGCTCACTCCAATGATATTCACGGAAACTGATGTTTAACAAAAATTTCAGTTATAGGAAACTCCAAATTAATTAAATGACTAAAACAGTGTTACAATGCACTTTGGGCCAAATCAAGGGCAGACTTCTCACAAAAAGGAAAAAGGCACAGATTAGCCAGGCGAATAAAAGTGATCGCAAGAATGTTGCTAGTATAAAAAGTGACAAAATGCAATATGATACAGATACAGATATAAAATAAGTGTGCAACAATACTCCCTCAACAGCATTCACAGCACAAACTGGCTTTTGTCCTGCTCCATTTTTTAGGGCTCAATCCATGAAATGAGTCAGCTGGAACACGTACACGGTAAAGCTCTGCGCTCAGTGGTTCGCCAAAGGGGTCGGGAGACCCATTTTTAAGGTATTAGTAATAGGGTGGAACTCAGCTACATAAGAATCCCAAAAGCAAAATGCATTCAAAACATGCAATCCCACTTCACCCAACGTCCACACTCTGATTTGGGAGTGTGGGTTTGGGAGGTCTCCCTGGCAATTAAGACTCTGGCCAGAGCTTCCTAAGACTCACAGGGTCCAAGAGCCCCCTCAGCCTGTCCTGGGAGCCCGAGTGAAGACAGGACAGGACAGACATGGAAAGACCTTCCGAAGGACTGTAGGAGGCAAGAGATGAGGCTGTGAAAGCTCTCGACACACAGCCCGAAAAAGAGCCTGCTTCTGACCGGAAAAACCCACCAAACATCAACGACTCACAGAAAGAGATTCCACCCAACGCTGGGCTAGAAAATCACGAATGACAGCACCGGGGCCCTTCTCGGGAAGGCCAGGGCTGGAGAGAGCGAACGGGGAATAACGCTGAGCGATGACAGCCGTGCAGTGGACTGAGTGGCTGCTTCACCCTGAGGCAAAGCCCTCAGTGATCTCTCCTATAAAATGAGGGGGGAGAAGGTCTCCAAGTTCCTGCCAGGGCGGTGAAAAGAAAACAAGCTCCGCGTCAGACCAATCCTGACTCCACAACTTACCAGCAAGGCAACTTAGGTCACTCTGAGCCTCAGTTTCTACACCTGCCAAATAGAGATCCCAGCTGTAACAGTCAGGGGTAGATATGGCTGTGAATAGTGGCTGAAAAATGAGGCTTATTACGCCCATCATAGAAAATTCCAGAAGACAGTAGCCCAGGATTTGTGAGGTGATCAACTGAGGCTTCCCAGGTGGCTCAGATGGTAAAGAATCTGCCTGCAATGCAGGAGATCTTGGTTCAATCCCGGGGTTGGGAAGATCCCCTGGAGAAGGGAATGGCAACCCACTCCAGTACTCTTGCCTAGAGAATGCCATGGACAGAGGAGCCTGGAGACCTGTCTACAGTCCATAGGGTTGCAAAGAGTCAAACGCGAATGAGTGACTAGGCACAGCAAAGCACATTCACGTATAACTCACAGATTATTTTTTTCTTGGGACCTATAGTGTATTATTTGGGGGGAATTCTCCCTGCTGTGAGCCTGCTGCACAGAAAATGGAAGATGTAAGTATAACTAAAACAGAGTCTTGTGGAATATCTAACATTTCAGAAGTGTGAGTCGTATCATTAAGTCACACAGTCTTCTTCTCAAAGCTAGTCTCACAAGCAGAAAGAGTAGCCTCTGAGCCATGAGAAGTGTAAGGGGAGGCCCGCTTCTATGACTGTGTCTCCCCCCCGCCCATTTCTCTTTCAAAGCACATAGCTGACATGCNGAAATCGCTGGTCCCAGGCCACACAGGTATTTAACAGTAAACCGCAAGGTCGGGATGCAAGTCCAGGCTGCTGGACCGCAGAATCCTTACTCTTAGCCACCACACTCAGCTGCCCCGACTACCTGAGTAAGGGGTCCGCATGTCATTTCAGACCAAGGATGGTCAAACCACAAGCCCATAGGCCAAATCCAGCCCACCACCTGCTTTTGTAAACAAAGTTTTATTGGAACACAGACACACCCGCTTGTTTACAATGAGGAGTTGCCACGGAGACCGTGGAGCCCACAAAGCCAGATATTAACCGTCTGACCCTTTATGGGAAAAGTCTGCCAGCCCTGTTACAGGCCGTCAGCCCCGTAAGGCAGGACCCGTGCTGTCTTCTTCTGCTCTCACATCTCACACGGCATTTATCTATTTTTTTTACTGAAGTGTGATTAGTTTACAATGTGTGTTAATTTCTGTGTAAAGTGCTTCAGCTACACACACGTCTGTTCGTTTTCACAGTCTTCTGTATTATGGTTTATTACAGGATATTGACTCCAGTTCCCTTTGCTCTAAGTAGGACCTCGTTGTTTATCCATCCTGCATCTAACAGTTTGCATCTGCTAATCCCGGACTCCCAATATTTCCCCCTCCTCTCCCGCTGGCAACCACAAGTCTGTCCTCTGTGTCTGTCAATCTGTTTCTGTTTTCTAAATTTGCTGATGTGTGTCATATTTTAGACTCTACATATAAGTGATATCATATGGTATTTGTCTTGCCCTGTCTGACTGACTTCACTTAGTATGATCATCTCTGGGTCCATCCACGTCGCTGCAAATGGCACTTCATTCTGTTTTATGGCAAAGATTCCATCATGTATATGTACCAAATCTTTACCCACTCAACCGCTGACAGACATCCAGGTTGCTTCCATGCCTTGGCTATTGTGAACAGTGCTGCTATCAACAGTGGGGTGCATGCATCTTTTTGAATTAGAGTTTTCTCTGGATATATTGCACGGCATTTGGCATATACACAAGAGGCCCTCAACAAGTACGTGGGGTGTGAACCTTCCGTCAGGCCTAATTACACAGAGAGAGGTGTGTGTGTCTGGGGGCTCCCGCGCCCAGCTCACACAGGACTTGGAAAGTCCCCCACTTCTGTCCAGATTCTAGTTAGCAACAAAGGGCCTGGGAAAACCTTCGTGGTGGCATTCCCTGCACGGGTCACAGCCCACCACGGTTCTGATGCAGTGACCGTCACAGGGATGTACCTACCACCTCATCCACCGAACTCCTCTGGAACGAGGGACTCACACAGAGCACCGGGTCCCACCCGCACTTGGGAGAACCTGAATCCCATGGCATCCTGGGAGGTTCCAGTCCCTGCTCGGGGTTCACTGGCCACGTGACCAGCACTGCCTAAACACTTAACACATCCTGGGAAAGAGTTAACTAAAAACTGATGCTGGTGACGTCCCTGGTGGTTCAGTGGTTAAGAATCTGCCTGCCAACGTAGGGGACATAGGATTGACCCCTGCTCTAAAAAGATTCCACCTGCCTCCGAGCAACTAAGCCTGTGCCCCTGCGCTCTAGAGCCTGCAACCCACAACTGCTGAGCCCAACTATTGAAGCCCACACGCCCTAGAGCCTGTGCTCTGCCAACGAGAGGAGCCACTACAAAGAGACGCTCACGTACCACAACTGGAGAGCAGCCCCCACTTATTGGAACCAGAGAAAACCTGTGCGCAGCAACAAAGACCCACTGCAGCCAAAAAAAAAAAAAAAAAACTGATATCGGGGCCTTTCAACTTGTTATATTTTCATCAAACGATTTCTAGAAAGGGACCAAACCACATACTAACACAATCCTCTGAAAACTACCACCCAACATGAAGAAGTGACTCGTGACTCAAATGCCTTCAAAGAACAGGATCGTGCATATTTCCTGGTTGCAGTGTTGTTCCGGGTTTCACTGTACAAGGCACAAATACAGCATTGGGTTGTGACCAAATCCCATCGAGACCGGGTTATCAAACACCAAATTCTGGACGGCTTTCTTTCTAATTCTGTCCTGGCTGGCCCCAAATCTCATCAGGAGCCACCCAGAGGAAACATGGAGAGAGCCTCCCACGTTTTCAGCACAATCACCTCAGTCCTGCTCTCAGGACACAAAGGCCCACGTCTTTCCTATCCCCCCAGGGTTCTCAAACTGCTGTCTGGCGGGACACAGCCTGCTAGGCCATGTGATAGACAGTCAGTGGAGACCAGCATCCACTACACAGATAAAACTGTCTGTCACCTGGGGCCCAGTGCAGGGGGAGGAAGGTCTGAGAAACATCTGTGGGTCTAAAGTGACCACCAACTCAGCCTCAGTTTCCACGAAGTCACCCACTGGCCTAAAACACATGTGTGTGCGTGTGTGTGATAGTTGCTCAGTCGTGTCCGACTCTTTGCGACCCCGTGGATTGTAGCCCACCAGGCTCCTCTGTCCAGGGAATTTCCCAGGCAAGGATACTGGAGTGGGTAGCCATTCCCTTCTTCAGAGAATCTTCCCAACCCAGAGATTGAACCTGGGTCTCCCACAATGCAGGCAGACTCTTTACTCTCTGAGCCACCAGGGAAGCCCCCTACAATACTAGACTCCTAGAAAATATTGTATGCCAGGCCCTGTGCTGGGCCTGATGCCTGCAGGAGCTCACAGCAACGCTACAAGGCTGGCATCATGCACAGATGAGGAAACCAGGCTCCACAGAGGTAAGCGAATTGCCAAGGTCATGCAGCAAAAACGAGGCAAAGCTGGACTGGCAAGGGGGTCTAAACATGTCACCAGCCTGGGGTCCTGCAGGCTGTCCCCTCAGGAGCAAGGGGACTCCAGGAGAAAGAGGCAGTCTCGGGTTCCAAAAGTTCCCAAGAGGCATCACAGAAGGTGTCCGGGATGGGGAATGACCCACTCACTCATACTCTGATAGTGGGGGTGGAGAATGGTCCAGCCATTCTAAGTTTCTACACGAGCCTCTCCAAGGATCCTGCGATTCCAACCCCAGTACTGACCCAAGAGAAATGAAGCTCACGTCCACACACAGACCTGTACATGAGCAGTAGCTTGGTTTGTAACAGCCAAAAACTGGAAACCACCCAAACATCCGCCTATGAGTACATGGATAAGCAAACTGTGGTGTGCTCACAAATACACTACGACTCAACCACAGAAAGAAATCCAGTATAAATGGCTGATGCGGCAGCAAAGAGGACGAAACTCAGACCTTTCTGAGCCAAACAGACCCGACTCTGCAAAGTGTACGCTCTAATGGTTCCATCCACTGATACATAAAACCCCAAGAGACAAAACGAACTCATGGTGATAAAAATCAGAAACAGAGTGCAAGGGAAGGGGAATGGACTGGAAAGAAGCCCAAGGAACCTTCCTGAGGGGTTGCAAATGTTCTGTACCTTTTGAAGCAGTGGTTATATGCTATAAACAAGTATCAAAATTCAAATGGAACATCTAAGATCATATTGTATGCTTATGATGACTTGAAAAAGAAGCCTTTGGACTAATGAGTCATTCAAATGATAAAATGGAAAGCACAGATTATTACATGTATCTTTCCAAAACTAATTGCTCAATTAGTATTTAAAGAAACCCCAAAGAAACTCTGATTGGCCCGTTAAAGGAAATTAGGTTTACTCATGGGCACTAGAAACAATTTTCCACACAATATTACCTAGTTAATATTTGCCCAAGGGCTCTGTCCAGGCAGACAGAGATGAATGAGCCCACCAATCTGGCCTAACAAGCCCACTTACACTCAGGACAGCAACCTGAGCCCTTCCCCAAAAGAGATGGCTGTCGCTATGGCAACCAATGGAAGGTAGGCAAGGCAGACACAGAAGGGAGCCAAAGAGCTTAAGAACCACTTTGGACTCATGACTGCGGGAATGCCATTCCCCACCCTCAAGATGCTCATATCCTAATTCTTGGACCTATGACTGCTAATTTATATGGCAAAGTTGTTGACACATGCTAAGTCGCTTCAGTCATGTCTGACTCTTTGTGACCCTAAGGACCCAAGCCTGGAAGGCTCCTCTGTCCGTGGGATCCTCCAGGCAAGAATACTGGAGTGGGTTGCCATGCCCTCCTCCAGGGGATCTTCCCCACCCAGGGATCAAACCCTTGTCTCTTATGTCTCCTGCACTGGCAGGCAGGTTCTTTCCACTAGCGCCACCTGGGAAGCCCTAATGGCAGCCGGGTTAACTTAAGGATCTTGAGATGGAGGGATTCTCTGAGCAGACCCTAAACACATTCATGGGAGTCCTTCTAACAGGGCGGCAGAGGGAGATTTGACAGACAGAGAGGAGAAGGAAACACAAAGACAGAGGCAGAAACTGGAGTGATGCAGTCACTAGCCAAGGAATGCTGGCAGTCACCAGAAGCTGGAAGCAGCAAGAAGAATTTTCCCTGAGGGTATCCGGTGGGAGCACGGCCCTGCCAACACCCTGACTCCCATCCAGTGAAACTAACCTCAGACTGCTGGCCTCCAGAACCATGAAAAAATACATTTCTATTGTGTTAAGTCACCAAGTTTGTGGTCACTTTTTATAAGAAAACTAACACAGACTGGAAGCCTTAAAGTCATATTGCTTCTGCCAGCAGTCCACATTCCCCCAATATCAACTCCAACGTCTGAGAAATTAATTTATTATCTTAAAATTAATGAAACTTTTTTCTTAAAACAAAATGTCATAGGGACTTCCCCAGTGGTCCAGTGGATAAGACTCCAAGCTCCCAACACAGGGGGCCCAGGTTCAATCCCTGGCCAGGGAACTAGATGCTGCAAGCCACCACTGAGGTGTTCACAGGCAGCAACCAGAGAGCAGGCATGCCACAAGGAAGACAGAGGACCCCATGTGCTGCAACTAAGACCCAGCACCGCCAAATACATAGATAAAAATAAAAAAAAATTTTAATAAATATTTTTAAAAAAGAAAACATCACAGACCATCTCGTTACCATGGGGCGGACAAAGACTTCCTAAACAGGGCTTCTAAAGAACCCAACATAAAGGGAAAACATTGACAATGTGACTACATTAAAATTTAGAATTTGTGTCTATCAAGACCCTAGTAAGAGATGAACTCGCAAACCAAAGCAGCTGCTTTCTCTGTATATAGAACACCTGTGCCCACGTGTGCAGAAACCTATCAGTAAACTCA